ACCGAAAGAGTGGTTAAACATTGGAACAGGCTGCCCAGGGAAGTGGTTGAGTCACCATCCCTGGAAGTACTTAAAAGACGTGTAGATGAGGCGCTTAGGGACATGGTTTAGTGGGCATGGTGGTGTTGGGTTGACAATTGGACTCGATGATCTTAGAGGTCTTTTCCAACCTTAATGATTCTATGATTAGCACAATTCTGGGTTTAGTACTCATATGGCCTTAAAATTTTCCTAAATCATGATCTTCTGTTTACCTACACCATCTAAAAACGCATCTTTTAACCAGAACTATATCAGTTAAGTGAGGCTTTATCTTTTCCTCAACTGCCACATTCCAGAGGTTTCTGAAAAATTCAGTTATCTTTCGCTTATTCACTAGTTATACAAGGAACAAGAACATTGTTACATAGGTTACATATTTTCTGTTCAGTAAAATGACAAATTTATAATATCAAGCTCACCAAGGAAAGTTACTGTGCTCTGACGAAAGGTAGCTATGTTTTTATGTTTTTTCATATTCCTCTACAGCCCATGAAACTCATGTTACATTTAGGGATGTTTCATATATAAACAGTATTAAAATAGGGAAAATATGCCAAGATATAGACATGAGTGTTCTTAAATTCATGACGCTAAATAAGAAGCATTGTTTAACAGATTCCAACTTTTAAGCTCCTTGAAATGTAGAATTTAGGTGCCTATCTCAAAAAATAGAAGTGACAGGCATTATACAAAGTCACATCTAATCAGTGAAATCTGTACACAGAACACCGATGTTTATACACTAAGAAAATAAGATACAACAAATACAGCAGTAACCACAGAAGTCAGTGGAATTATTTCTGTGGTTTTCATGTAGTGCTGTTTTTCATGAAGGTGTCGCTTAATTAGTACATATCAAAAAATCACACAATCAGTGCTGGAGAGGCTGAGAAACAGTAACATCGGCCACCCGTAGCAGGTGAACCACATTTGTTATGACACAACTTCTGCTATGCTGATGGAAGTGGGCTGGCAGCAGCAGATCAGCAGAGAAAACAGGCACTGTCCTAGATTCAATGTGCACAACAGCCCCATGTTCATTGCACTCATATTCTTTGATCCAGGCTTGACACAAGTTTCTGCTTGATTCTCTCCATCACATACAGGAGTGAATTCCCCTTCTGGCTTCTTTGCAGCCTACTTTTTTTCTGGGGAAAAATGTTTGCTATGCTTCTGTATTCCTACTTAGGAAGCAAAAAGAGTTTCACCTCTTGATTGTGATGCTTTAAAAACATAAGAAAATTAAAGAGTTTGAGGATATATACAGCCAAAGTACCAATTAGAGTTTAAGACTAAACACTGCTCAAACTTTGTTGAAAGCCACAAAGACAGGAAAGTGACACAAATTTCTAGAGTGTTATCTCATTTTCATTCTCTTGTCCATGTGTCCAAATGAAAAAGAAAAATCTGCCTATACATATCTCCATATTCTGCCCTCAAATGCCTAGCTGCAGCTTCCAATGACACTTCCAAATTTAGCCATGACAGTGAAGAAAGGGACTGATGGATAAAAATAAGCTCAATCCCAAACAGGGACAATACAATTGTCTGGTAGCCCTTTATTATGCAAGACAAGGAAGGCTTCAGGACATGCAGATTTTGCATACAATCTGATGAGCACAGTATTCCTTTGTACTTCATGGTGAAGTAAACAGCCTCACACTACTGTCATCCATTGTCTACCATTAACATAAGTAAAGGAACAAAACCAGGATAGTTGCAGATTTTCTCTACCTAAAGCACTAACAATTCAGAGATATTTAGCAGTAGGTTTTTAGCTTGTAAAAAGCCAATAAACCAATCAACCAGCCTCTACTTGTGACTTCAGTCCTCGTATGCTTCTTTCAAGGTATCACAGCCTAAATATGAATATAAAAATCCAACCTGACACACTGGAGCACAAGCTCACCCGCCCTTCAGTTTTTGAGATCAACTTCTAACTGTGTACCACCTGCCAGCCTTTCACAAAAGGAGGGGAGAGGCCATCCTAGTACAGTCATGCCTGCAGCAATTTTGTTGCAACAAAACTGCCCAGCTCCATCACTTTGTTTTAATCTCTTACACTGGTTCATTTTTGTTTCATGGATGTATTGCAATGAAAAAGTAAATCTAGAAACTTAATGCACTGATACAGATTTAATGAAATACAGCATACATTTTCTGCTAAACCTGGACTACAATGAAAAAGGCTAAGCTAACAGCTACTAACATAACCGAGAAAGAATCAGTTCTGATCCGACATCAAGCTCCAAAACAAGCTATTGGGCAGATCAGCACTAGCAAGAGCTTCTGTAGAGTTCACTAGCTGAATTTTGCAACTGAAACATCGCTTAATGGGACTGAGCCCCAGAAAGATACAGAAAAGTAACAAATAGTCAGTAAGCCAGCACTATGTCAACATTAGGGCAGCTCAAAATCACCTCCTTCTAATGAACTATTTGAAAGAGGAGATTATAACCAAATGTCACGCCATGGTATATTTATAGTTTTCTGGCATTCCCTTTGACACAGCAAGGTCTCTGTTCTCCTCTCTCACCAGCAGCAGGCAGAGGCAGGGAAGAGTCTGTCTCTCCCCAGCACTTGTCCTGCCCAAACAGGACCTCAGGCTCAGACTGCCTGAGCGCTCCAGCAAAAACTGTACAACTCCACAGATTACCCCTGCCGTTCATTTCCGTAAGTCACACCAATATGTTTTAAACACCAAAAACATTTTCCATGTTCCCATTTTCTTAATACTCAGCATTTAAAGACAGCACAGAACTCTAGATTCCAACAAGAAACCTGCTGTTAAATTTGATTCTTGGTGAAGCTGTACTTTTTGACCTTAAATCATAAAGTGCAAGGCAGAGAGCAGTTCCCTAATTTCTACTCTCCTTATTTCCAAGAAGGGGGCACAGTTCTCATAGGACTGTGTGAGGATTATCCAACATTTGTAAAACCTGTTATTCTCAAAGTGCTTTAAGCAATTTCATTAACATTGAGTCAGTTGAACATGGGTGGATCAGCAGAGATGCCCAATCACTGCTTTTAGGAGATGCTTTTTTTTTTTTTAAATAAATTTTGCAGTAAGAGAAAAGTATCACAGCATGACTAGTCAAGAGTCCTGCATGCACTGTAACTTACTGTGTAACTAATTCAAATACATAATGACAATGTTACACAGACAATAAAAATCTACAGGTAATATATTACTGTCTTGTTTTAGAGACACGAGGAAAAAACAGTTCATGATCAGTGATTTTTTTTTTGTAGCTGCTACACTATGACTATACAATCGGTAGGGCTATTTTTTTAATTACACAAAGACCGTAAATCACAAGTAGATGGCACAATTAGTCTATGTTTTTTAATTGCTATGAAATTGACTAATTAGATCCCATCTAGCTCTGAAAGCTGTATATATGCTTTCTGAAAGTCTTTAAATTGTGTAAAAGTACTGAGCTTCAGAAAACTACTCAGAACGTACAATAATTCAATTACATACCTTTTTTTTGGTCTCAACTAAAAAGGAACCATCTCAAAGTGCCATACGCTGGAATGTAAGATGAGCCCAATAATGTATTTTTTACGTTTCATATCCTCTCCTTAACATTCTCTGATATAAAACCCACTTGCCTTTACTTGTATTATGGGGAAAATAGAGCTCCCATTAAATACAAGGTCCCACAGAGAAAAAAATTGGTCACAAAAGAAAGTCACTACAAATTGTCCAAGCCCTAATCATTCACGCTTCTTTCTTATGATTACACTACTCAGCACAGTAAAGTGAGTAAGCCATGAGTCAACAACTATCCTCCTCAAAAACAAACTTACGCTACTCTTAGGGCAATGGGCCCATATGCTTAGGCCAGTCTGAGGGTTTCTGTAATCAGACACAAACTGAGAGAGACTGACAGAGTAAGTGGTGGGGGAAGCTACTGTAAGTGCTACAACTAAACACCTCTGTACAAAATGAATTATTACTATTTAATGGTGGCACAAATTTAGTTTGCATTAAGGCCTCTGTAATCCATTCTGTAACACTCAGAGATCCTCAAGGACCTATTACTCTGCCAGAGCAGCGTAAGAAAAGCTGAATGTATACAAGATTCCAGTACAAGAAATATCTGATAAGGAGTCTTTATCTTGACCATTTTACTTTGCATTTATTTTTATTGCTTTAAAATATTTGTCTTTCTGAGTCATTTTACAGTTACTTTTGCTTCTGAGTACCACTAAGAAATTATTTCAAATAAATCCTATGTTGTTTTGCTTCATATTGCCATATTGCTACTCAGACATTGGGTCTGGTAAGCTTAGCCAACTTCTTGTTTGATTTTGGTTTATTAAAGTGTAAACGTGGTGAAGTTGTGGAGCCTGTCCAGCTTCCCTTTTTAGTCTCCATCCTTAAGACAAATTAAACATCATTTATTGCTCTGAAACAGCTCTTAAAGAACAAGTTCTGCATCAAAGCAGCTGTAAGATTTTTTTGTGTGCGCACGCTACTTGCTTCTAAAAAAAAAAATTGCCCTTCTGAACCTGAACCCTTTTATGCACATGACCTTCAAATCACTTTCACTTCAGAACAATCTTGAATTCTTTATTTTGTATTTCTTATTAGTACATCACCCGTTACCAAAATTAGCCAACGCAGCAAAACATCTAAGTCCCAGGCAAGCCAGCTCCCATACACATTAAGGCTCAAATCTTGCACACTGTTAAACCTACATGAAACATAAAATCCCCTTCAGGTGAGGATCAAGATCCTGTTTAATGCAAGACCCTGCTCTTGATAGCAGTTTCCTACTCTTTCATACATAAATATTAAATAATCAAGTCTTAAAGATACCTTCCACATGTTCTTCACTCTTCCAAGATGACTGGGCTTTGGAGTCCCGAAACAACTAATATCAGCTTCTGTGGATGGCAATATTTACTCCTTGTTTATACGGAATTTAACTTTGATTCTTAAAACTTACGTTTTTCTTTCTTTCAGGTTCCTTTGCTCCCTGTTCAGGCTGTGAGCCTTCATCAGGTGGTACTGTTAAGCGTAACCTACAGACATTCATCTGAAAGAAAAACAAAGGTTTGCTTTAAGATGTAAGTGTTACAAAAATTATTTTAATAACTTGCTTTACAGAATGAACTGTACTAACATTCAAGTTGTAATTTACTATTTTCTACCTTCTGCCACATAGATGACAAAAAATTAGTTTTCTAAAGGTTGGGGGGGGCGGTGTTTGTGGTGTGTTAGCTGGCAAGAAATAATTCAAGGGCATCCCCATAATTACATACCTGAAATAGCAAAAAGTCATTTCAATCAACATGTTCTTATGTACTCATAAATGACACTGAGAGCCAAGATAACAGAACAATGAACATAGTTTTCTAGTTTCTCAGTTTTGTTTGCAGATTTGGCATACTTTTAATCTTCAAAAGGGATTATTTAGAAACACAAAGTGTATTCTGGAGTGAATGCCTCTTTTCTGTTCAGTATATATCCAAGTATTTGATCCAAGGATACCTCAGTACTGCGATTCTACTGAATGTGAATAGGAATATTATTGAAATCTGATACATACAAGTTGTTTGTAAAAATTAAGCTTCAAAATGCTTCAGAGAAAATTTAAGAGGTATTGTTTCCTATCCAATTTCAGAAAAGCCATTCTCTTGCTGAGTAAACAGGCCAACAGGGTTGATACCTTTCTACCCCCAATTGCAGTTTGCCTTGCTTTTGGCTGAGAGATCTTTGGTGTAGTGATATTTTTAAAGTAAAGCCTTTCATACAAGAAACTTGGTTAAAACTTTCAGTCTTAGTCCTATTCATGAGACATTTTTGTGGAAAACAACTATAAGTCCTAATCAGAGCATAGCAAAGGATGAAATGAGAAATTTGTCTATCCAATTTTGAACCTGCACAACACCTTCCTGTGAAATCCCAGCTGTCTGTTGACAACAGACAGGGCTCTTAAAGCTCTTCCTCAAAATGTCTAAAATACCACTTTCCTCATTACTGTGGGCCATCACCGCTGTTCTTCTATAGCCCAGCATCTCATCTGATCTAGATCTCTCTAGTTTCTCCTAAGTACTTACCTCCAGTCATGCTGAATGTGTACCTTCTCTCTGAAATACACCTTTCCATTGCACTTGCCCAAGCTCACAGCTCATGTCTTGGTCATTACAGCACTTCCTTTTGCCTTGAAAATGGCAATCATGTTCTGCTCACAGGCATTCAGAGCACAGCAGCAAAGTCCTTTTCATAAACCCCAAATTTTACCATTGTATAATTCACTTCTTCCAATTGTCTCTCATATCAGTTAAGCTAACTTGACTTCACTTTCAAGGCTCTTTACAAGACCACCTCAGAGCACCACTATTCAGCATCACAACAAGGATTCCCGTTTTCCCTGTTTCCAAACAATGGACCTTTTTCAACTTTTCAAACAAGCTTTAACTTTTTCTTCTCCCCAAGCAAAAGCAATTGGAAGAACTATCTGCAAATATCTGCAGCAACTTCACTATTTTTCTTCCAGCCTTTCTTTAGATCTGTTGAGACAACAAATCAACAGTGTTTAGACTACTGGTATGGTGCCAACTGTACTAAAAAATGCTACTTTGTATTGCCTTCCATCTTCCTCTCTGTTTGGTCTTTTAGGTCTGCAAGGCCTTCTACCAATAAGGAACAGTGTCCCAAGATACAGGTAAAGTTCCTATAAAATATGTGAGCTGTGTCTGTATTATAAAAGAAAAAAAATAAAAACAAAACGAAACAAAACAGAATATAATAAGATCAAGGTGAAATACAACCTACTCTTTAGACACATCTGTGAAGGCTACTCTTTGTGCAGTGGGCTCCTCACCGTTAATTCATCATTCAGCCATATGCTAGCAAATTTAGAACAAGAAGCCACAAAGAAAGTGACAGAAAACCCCCCAAACTTAGTATAAAAGCAGGTTATGTTTTCATATTTGCTAAAGAACTCTGAAACAATGAAATGCATTTCAAAATGATGAATCCTTACACATTGGCTTTTGATACTGATTGACCACTATGTATATTCTTCTGAGAACACCAGACTCTCCCCACATACTGCAGAAGCTGGAGGTGCTTCCTGCTTACAAGTTTATTATTAATATATCTTGATAACTAACTCCTCAACTTTGGAACTCGTTGATTCTCAAGGTAATTAATACCACCTTTTCTTACCTATTTAATTTCCATTTCCCCCTGCTCTTTCTTCCTGTTAGCTTAGCAAGGCTCTTTCCTCTTAAAACATGCCTGTTTACAACAAGAAGGGAAACACAGTCTGGCATTCCTCCATGTAGGCAAACAAAGAAAGACCAGACCCATAAATAGGAAATAGAATTGAATTTGTGCTGTGCTGTGCAGGAAGTGATAGACGAGGCCAACTTTTTCTTACAGTGATTTCAAATGAAGGAAAACTGGACTAAGAGGAATGAAAGGATTGTTAGGAGACAACATGAAAAATACCTCAAATAAATAGAAACAGATAATGACTGGCAACTCAAAGTTAGGAGAAATGGAGTTGTGTATGATTCTCTGAAGCTGGCAAATGGCTTGCCTGTTAGTCAGTATGGGACTAATTATAGCCAACATACTTAGAGATTCACAGTGCAGTGATTGTAAATAAGTAATTATCCCTGTACCTGTATACCAGTTAGTGAATCACAACTGCCTGTCACATTATAGCAATTGATGTGTTACAGGGTTACTATGAAGGAAATCACAGAAGACCAGTACAGATGGCAGTCAAATCATAACAACTAGGTTGGAAATATAAGTTAATAACAGTAATTTGTTGAGACTAAAACCACTGTACAATCAAAGGGTTGTTATCATTTAAACTGTTTTTCTTGCTCTTTTCTTTTCACATTGCCTTCTCTATTACCCCAAGAGTCACTTCTCCCCCCCCCTCCCCCCTTCCTCATTTCCACAGTAGCTCCTTACTTTTAAAGCACCTCAAATCAGTATCATATTTTTGGCAGTATTTCTGATACAAAATAAAGTTTTAATGCTTTACTTTGCAGCCTGTTGCATGCAAATGCCAAACAGAGGCTGGCACTGGCAATCATCTAAGAATTCCAGCCTTGAAGTCGTGCCCAGTAAGGCTTGTACGGCAACAGCAAAGTACCTCCCAATTCCTCGCTAGGCCAAACTTACGCAGGCTGTACTCTGGCTATTGTTTATAACAGTAGGACTTCCTCAGCATCCCTGGGGAAACAGCAGCAAATGTTTAAAGTAGCCATTCACTCCTGCTCCTCCTGGGCCACAGATGACGCACGCTACCTAAGGCCAGAACTACAGACCAATCTGCTAAAATTCAAGAACACTATAGAGATTGGGAAAAAAAAAACAAAAACCAAAACAGCCGCTGCTTTTTTCTCTAACCTCCAGAACCAATTATGAATACTGTACCTATACTGTTCTGGCTACGCAGTGCTTCCTGAAGAAACAACACACTGTACCATTTATTGGCAAGTTTACTTGCCCAAATGAACGAGCAGGCTCACATGGAAATCACAGCAAGCCCTCCTCCAACAGCAAAACACTGCTGCAGTGATGCCTTAAAATGGAAGTGAAATCGTAACAGGAAGAGCCTTGACTCAGTGCCAAACAGTGGCAGAATAACGTGCAACTGAGGATGAAGGAGTAATTTCCAGAAACAAATTGGGTTACGCAGAGAGAAAACGGGGAGGAGAATGAAAGAGAACTCCCCTAGCAGGGAAAAGGCTGTGATTCAATTCCCTTCAACTGCTGACTGACAGTAGGAACAAGTGAGGAAGAACAGGGACAGACATGTCTTCCACCCTACCTTTATGTCACCAACATTGTAACTTTGTTAGCGTAACTTTTAAAAAGAAATACTGGGTAGAAGAACCACCAGGTATTGGGTTTTCTAGACTACCAGACTTTAGTTTGATTTGCAGCATCTGTAGCTTTGGCAAGCCAACAATATAAGTAATCATAGCTGTGCCAATATTTTATGTTCGCTCCTAGCCTTTTGACATCAACAACCCACGAGCAGTATTTCCAAAGCTGATCTGACATCATTTGTGAAACAAATATGCAGACAGGAAAACAAAGACTGACAGGTTCAGCCCGGCACAACACTGGACAGCAAAAGTTTGCTGAGTGCAATGGAAATTAACAGGTGAACACACGCTCTTTTACCAAATTTCTAAAAGGCTAGTGGGACAGCATACATGAGAACTACTGCAATAGGGCAGCTAAGAAAAAAGCCAATCTAGGTTAGGTAAAAACGCTAAGAATTCATGGCCCAGATCCACAATCCACATTCATGTCTACCATCCTACTCAAATCACTAGGGTGCAACTTAAAACAAATACAGATGACAGATCCAGTTTGAGTAATGTTCTTCAGCCTCTTCTCCCCCCCTTCTAAAAAACAAAGCACCCAGAAAGGCATCGATCATAGTTAACTATGTACTGAAATAATTACAGAGCTAGCATTAAAATAATGAACAATGTTTTTATAGAATAACCAAAGTTACTAGTACAGCAATAGAAAAATACAAGCTGTTACTACTAACAACCAGTCCATTCTAAGATTTTTACAGTACCCCTACAGGGAAGATGTGGTTCAATATTGATCTAGCTTCAAATCAACTTTAGCATTAATGTCACCACAATTTAATATTGTTGATCTTTCTAACGTCTGATAATAAAATGGTTTGGGGATAACACGTTTGTTGAGTACCTATCTGCTAACCTACCAGCTCAATGGCCAAAAATCACCCCCTTTGCCTAAGACCCAATGTTAGTTTTAGACTTTTGAAGGTGAAAGCAGAAAAGAAGTGGGTGTTTAATTTCAGTCAGTCCTAAAAAGCAAAGAAGAAAGTAATTTCTTTGGTCATTTATCTGTTGATTAGCCTGCTCCATTTATAAAATCTCTGCTATGAGATTCTTCCCCACACAATTAAAGGACACTTTTCCGGTGACCACAGGCACACAGGAATGTGACACACATCTTTCATTTATTCAGCAGTTACTCTGTCTTCCTCCCCTCTTTTGACAACTCATG